GCGCAAATACTTCTAACAGGTTAAGGTTCTCAGGCTTGGGGTGGTGAGTCATCAGCTACTGGAGCCTTTTGGTAAGTACAAGAAAGCGGATTTGAACACAAGGTGGAAGCCAGCGGAACCGCTTCTTGATCAGTCCTGCGTCCTGTCTTCGATTGTGTGCATACTCCGCAGGGCCCTGAGATATGAGTGGTCAAAGAATGCAAAAAGGGCCGACCAGAGAGGAAAGAAAATTCTGAAAGGTGTTCTTGTAAGAGTAGATTGGCCCGGCTATGTACGCGAAGGTCTCTATCAGAGCCTACTTGACGTGCTGTATGAGGGCACCAACTTCTGCAGTTTATAACGGAGCGGAGAGCATTTGGTCCTGAGTCGAGCCCATTTCATACACCAAGCAGACTCCCAAACTGATACAAACTGACGAAAACTTCCCGGTGGAATCGTCAGGATTAAGAGTTGCGGGAATCATAAGGGGGAAGCAGAACGCGGCGGCAGCATCGAAGGCGCCCAAACCTGTCAGTCGTGCCCGTCACGATTGCGAACTGGTCTTCGGAAGCTTGATGGGCGGCATGATGTGTGGATGACAGTCTTCACAAGTGGAGCCGAATGGAAGCAGCCACAAACTCAAAGCGCTTAGTCATACGACGTTCGAAAGAATGATTATATCAACCTCTTAAGCTTATAATCGGGTCGTAGTCCCAGAAGTAGCACGGACAACATGCGTTTTGAGGCCTGGAGGAGAGCAGCTTCGACGGTCGGAATGCGTGTACGAGCCGAAAGGCGTTCCTATGATGTGCATATGTTCGGCAAGAGAAAACGGTTCGTCTAAGCAGCTTCCGCCTCTGTGAAGCAGGTCTGGTCAGCCCTTTGGTCAAATGTAGAGACTGTGCTCAATCAGGCCTGTAAGCGGCAAAGTTTTGTCCGTTCTTATGAGTCAACGAACGTTGAGCCACTGCTCATGCTGAGTCCAAACAGTCTCAACGATCCTCTTTTCAAAATCAGGTCCTCTTGATCATGCCTGCTGACGTCACCACCCACGAGCATCTTGAGGGAGCGAGGCTGTACCAGATCTTGACAGGCACTCTGTCTGTTCATAGCGTGCGGTCTCAGCCAGCCTCTGACCTGACAAGTGCTGCGTTGCTTCGACGCGGTTGTGGGCTGCCTTCCGCCTTCCCATGCGGTACACCCAGGCTGCGCACTTGGCGTGACGGATCGTGAGCTGGCCAGGGCGGGAAGCAAGGTCGTTCACTTCATCTGCATCGAGATGCCAATTGTCCATTCCCATCCTTGGTTACAGGAGGTGATGCTTTTGCCAATGTTTGGATCAAGCGATAATCAATGTTTGGATTAAGCGACTGAATGCAAAGACACTGACCTGAGGGCTCACCTTAAAACTCTCGAGAATGAGAAAATTTATGCGACCTGTAAGCCGTTCGTTCCCGTCATTCCAACTGAAACATACAAGCTGGACCTGGGCTGTTAAAGCGATGAGAATGATGTTCGAAGAAGAACAACAATTTGATGTTAAAGATCCTCTACTGCCGTCGAGACAAATGCAGATCTTTCTGGCTGTCGGGGACTACTGCACCGAATGGATTGCGCCTTATCCTTGAAACCGTTCTTTCAAGCAGACTCATTCGTGACTTACATTAGTCCCCTCTTAAGGAATCTTGCTCGATGTCTACTTGCTTCGAAGGTCCTGCACATTTCTTCGAAGCACATCGAGATGTCCTCAATCTCTGCTCAGAGTAGCTTCGATAAGTAATGTTGCAACCGAACCTCACCCTAGTCCTTGTCTGATCCCTTGCTACAGCTTCTATTCAAACTAGCCTCCTTCTATGCGATATCAACGAGCTCAGCCACATGATCAGTACCCTCAATAAGGTCCAGGCGCGGGGTCTCAGAACAGCAACTAACTTCTCAGCCAGCAAGAAAGAATTCAGGAGATTTGTAGCGATCACAGTTGGTGGTGACTGTCGACTACATATTGTTCTTAGCCCGTTCGTACTTCTTGCATGCTGTCTGTATCTAACTGCATGTTGCTAAGCATCAAATGCTGTGGCTGTACGGTGGAGAGGAACCTTGATTGCACTGTCTGCAACACACACCAAGCACGAACTAGACTATGCCTGGTTCGAGCAGTGGGGACTCACGTCTCGAAACTAGCCTGCTCCCCAGCTCAAACCGTGGCCACAACCTCAGAGGGAACAAGGAAAGAGCCTGAATGGTGCACTAGTGCCAGGCACGATGTGCAGCTAGC